CGGATCTAAAGAAATGAACTTTAAATGTTCAAGCCCGTCTCGGATATACCTACACAGTAGGTTGAATGGACTGATGCCTATCAGAAAACAACTACTCCCCTGGCTAATACCACGAACGGCATTGGATTATATCCGACAACATACTGCTGCGTAGGTATATCCGAGACTAGCTTGAACATTGAAAGCTCATTTCTTTGGATTTGTTTACTGCCTGTCTTCAAGCATAGCCCACTGACTAATAAAAAAGTTTTTTCTTCCTTATTCAGAGGAATCGGGCAAATTTCGGATATACAGTTAGTTAGTACCTCGTCCACTAGATGGAGTGACATTTTTGTTGTTCGCTCCAACTTAGGATGAGGAATACTATGAAGGAATACTATGAAGGAATTTCGATTTTCAATTATGGAATATCATTGACTTTAGATCGATGATGTCCACTATATTGCACTGACGAGTGGCTAAGAAGCCCGAAACCGGTCTGCAAATATGCCCGTTCCAAAATTGAAGCTCGACTCTTTCAGTTGTATTGCCGATTGCACATGCATGAAATTTTCTGTGAAGATTCCTGCACTGACGCTTGTCGGATATAATCCAACGCCGTTCGTGGTATTATCCAGAGGAGTAGTTGTTTTCTGATAGGCGTCAGTCCATTCAACCTACTTTGTAGGTATATTCGAGACTGACTGGAACATTTAAAGTTCATTTTTTTAGGTTTGTTTACTGCCTGTTTCAAGCATAGCTCACTGACTAATAATAAAGATTGTTTCAGACCTTAACGTACAAAATCATAGTGCTTTAGTAACTTCCTATTGGGTAATCGTTACCCACGAGCTTACCCAAAACACCTCAGTGGGTCCACCGTTTTCGTTTTCCTCTCAGTCTTGAGTTTCAGTTATAGGGTTCAAAATTTAAAAGCACAAAAACATTGAATCAATGTCCAAAGTTGCTTCGAAGCAATCTATTCTTCAAGTTTGTCCCTACCGAACTACTAGCGCTGCTAGTGAGTGATTTTTCGTACTTCAGGAAAAAGGTTCATTGACCATTAAATGGTCAATGAACCTTTTTGAATGTTCGAGGATAAATTTTATCCTCGAACATTCAAAAACACCTACAACAACGTGCATATCTACCCAAATGACAAATACGCCTCACTTGACGTCTGAACCAAAACCGATATCATACAGGGCCGAATTTTCAGTTCTAAAGGTTTATTGCGCTACGTTAATTGTCTTTATTCTTGAACAATCGTAACTTTTGAATCAATGCAGCAAATTTCAATTCCTTTGCACGGTTGAATATTGAATGAAACTCCCTATCAAATGAGCTATCACTCACCACCCCATGCTATTTAAATTTTTCGATAGGATTGCTGGGATGAAAGTATGGATAAACTGGTTATACTCAATGTACATTGTTGAAATCAAAAATCAGCCTGTTTCGGCGATTCCAGTAACGAGTTGGATAGGGGGGGGTCACATTTATGATGCGCACTGTATAACAACAACCAGCTCGTCCATAAGTCTCGGTATTATTACTTTTTGAAAGATATCCGAAACTGGAAAAGTTGTTTTTTCGGAGATTACACGAAATTTTTCAAATAAATTTCCCAGTGACAAAAAAATTTATAGGAGTAGTTTTGATATTTTCATCAATCTGTGCAAAAAATCAGTAACAATTTTTCTGGAACCTCAATAGTACAGGCATTATTGATGAACTAATTTCATCTATAACTCTAATAACTACTTCAGAATTTTTTCACAATTTTCATACTTTCTTCTTTGATTTCAGTTGATTCAGATATGTCGATGGCAGCGAATAACAACTCATTGGCAGCGACGCTGAGTAATCCTACAGGAGGTGTCAATGCCATGAGTCAACAGTGTGCCATATGCGGAGACAGAGCAACAGGAAAACACTATGGTGCCGCGTCCTGCGACGGGTGCAAAGGATTCTTCAGGAGATCGGTTAGGAAAAACCATTTGTATACCTGCAGGTGAGGCACTATCATCGATGGAATGCAAATTTTATGAAAAATTGAAATAATTCTCAATGAAACGGTAGAGAAAACAATATGTGAAACTGTTTCCCTTCTGAATTTTTTTCCTAGGGAAAAAAATTTCTGAAAGTAACTTCTACGTATGATTTTCACGTATCCATCTTCATTTGAAAAATTGTGGGAAACTTCCAATGGAAGAAAGAAAGAAGCGGCGGCTCGTCAGAGGAGGCAAGGGAGGCTTAGCCTCCCNACAGTGTGGCATATATTATTAAGGAAAATATAAGCAAGGAGATTGAAAGTGTTTCCTTTTTTGCATGGGAAATTGATGAAACTACCTATATTACCTGTACATCACAACTTTCAATCGTTTTTAGATATGTTAAAGATGGTAATGTGGTAGAACGTTTTATGAGTTTTCATGATATTCCATCTGGGCGCACAGCTGACGATTTGTTCAATTTTTTTATTCGTACGTGTGACACCTATAATTTTAGGCAAAAGTTAAGTGCGCAAACCTATGATGAGGCTGCGGTCATGGCCGGCCATTTAAATGGTTTGCAAACTAAAATAAAGTGCATAACTCCTCATGCACTTTTTACGCATTGTCATGCCCATGCCCTAACTTCAGTATTGAGCAAAGCGTGCAAAAACATAAAAATTGTTCAGCGGGCTTTTCTGTGGGTATATAGTCTTTATGACTTTAGCCTCCCCTGTTCTCCAATGCACGAGCCGTCACTGAAGAAAGAAATTATATTCAGAATGAACTATTTGCAAACATTCATAGATTATACAAAGAAGTTACTTTCAGACACAAACTGAAAACAAAAGACCTTCCGAAACAACTACTTTCGCATGAAAAATGAATTACACGAAAAGAAAAAGACTTTCGAAACAACTGTTTTTATATGAAGATTGAATTATACGTCTTAAACATAGGTACGTAGGTTTGCTGTATTTTCGCCAAACAATTTTAAAAAAAATGATGTACGGAATATATGACAAAACAAACCACAAATTAGCCAATACGAAAAATATCCTATGTCAAAAAAATAATGAATTCATACAAATGATAGTAAATTAACAAACAATTCCATTTCCATAATCGATTGTCTTCAGAGTTATTTCACCAGCGAAGTTTAATGTCATGTACAACCGTTGATGAAATATCTTGATTGCCGCACGTCACAAAATGATATTTTTCAATGAATACCGGCACACGGTGTAATTTATTTCTACCTTGACATCAGGCAATAGTAATTATGCATCATTAGAAATTATATGCCCATTAACTTCTCCGGTGCTTACTTATTCAAAGTTTGGTGAAATGATATTCAATGGTAGATGATGGGTTATTTTTTCCCAGAGATATTCGCCTCGAGGTCGAGTTTTTATTTCGAGAACACACATTGTTTTATGTAAGAGATGGAGTAACTATTCGACATAGTGAAGAATAATCAAGTAATTCGGAAAGTGGCGCCAATGGGATAGTGATATTGTTGCAAATGGGACAAGTTGGCAAATACGGTCCTGTTCACTAAAGAAAGAGTAGTTATTTTCAGCTATACGTTATTTTCGCCGCTTTTTATTAAATAATAATGAAAAAATATACAAGAAATGAAAGAATGTGTTGCATACCACCTGAGTGTGGTCTTTTTAAAAAATACAACTGTATGTACTCAATCGAATGTTTCCAGTGCTACTTTTTCCAAATGTTCTACAAGGCCAAAATGAACATCTCTTGCATTATCAATATCTTTCAGTGTTCATCATTTCTCACTAAATGAACTCTTCGAATTGTTTATAGATAAGAATATATCGTTAGACTTTTATTATAGAATGAATTTTCAAAAACTTTAGGTCGTGCATTATACATTGGTCTATATTTCGACTGTATTTTTTCTATGAAATTTCCATGAAGTATGTTTTCCTTTTTTATATAAAACTACAAGTGCTGCATGAAAAACCTTGAGATTATCTGAGACCGGTATTTTTACCAAACAAGCATATACGTTCTATTTAAATCGCTCTAAATTACATCTATTTGAGAATACGTTAATGAGAAATAACACTCTTGTCGCTATTAACAGTTTTTATACCACACTTTGCTATTTCAAAGCTCTCAAAAACATCCAGAAGACTACTGTCATGTACCATGTACTAGTCTCAACATGCCCAATCTCCAAGACATGTTGGGGCCGCTATATTTTTCTGGTCCAGAAAATTGCGTATTCACTCCGTGTTTTTTGAAACGACTCTGAACACTTCCTTTAGTTTGACTAACATTTTTTTTCGCCGTCCTCACAGCTTAGAGCCTGAAACTATATATTGTCATTTGTTTGTCCATTTTCACGGCATTTGTTTTTGTTCCAGGTTCAATAGAAATTGTGTAGTCGACAAAGATAAAAGAAACCAATGTAGGTACTGTAGGCTTAGGAAATGTTTCAAGGCTGGTATGAAAAAAGAAGGTAAGTCTTACCTTAAACGTCAACATGATCTGTTGGCGATTTTTCTTCGTACATATTCAAAATTCAATTCTGTTTAGTATTTTGTCACTTTTTGATTGAGTGTTTGATCCCTAACCACCTTTGAAATATATAATGACATAAAAATAATTTACTTTTTATAGCTGTTCAGAATGAAAGAGACAGAATTAGCTGCAGGAGGCCCAGTTACGAAGAAAACAACCAAAACAATGGTCTTTCGGTAGGGTCACTCTTGAACGCAGAAATGTTATCCAGACAAGTTTGCGCAGCATTAGAGGTAAGTCAAGTTGTTAGAATTCCGAATGGGGCGATATTTCTTGAAAGTTTTGATTTTTGTAATGTATCTCAGATGTACTTATGATGCACTGTTTGGAACCTTTGGTGTAGTACTGGAGTTTTTTCCCAACACCAAATCGTTATTTTAAACACCTCGACACGTGTTTCGATCATCAAGTGATCATCTTCAAAGAGGAACATTAAAACTAAGAACTAGTGCAAGCTAATCCTATTTATGCTATAAATGTAACCCATACAGGTAAACCATCCAGGCGTACCAACCATACAGGTATACCGACCTAATATATATAAAAAATAATTTCACAATATTGCCTATCCAAATTNACGATGGGGCGCATTGATTTTCCCGGTTTGTGGATTTTTGGGAGGCAATGTAGTTTCGACACCGTTGGGTTGGAAACTTGTAACTTTCGTTTCAGTTGAGGGGTAAGTATGTTGTCGCATTTCTTAAGACGTCCTTAAGAAATGCGCGCAAATACAATTCTTTTAACGAAAGAGCGCAGTAAAAAAATTGGCGCCCAACGTGGGGTCATGTTATTTCGGTCCCTTTATACACGATTAATCTATGGCATAGATGGTGTTTATCGATACCAATTTCATGATAAGGTGAAAGAAATTTATATATCTGTCTAGGCATCACTTTTCATGAAGTATTACAGATAGATAGATAGATTGATAGACAGATTATTTGACTATATCATATACATATTCATAGCAAGTCATTTGGTCTAAAAAGATATCAAGTAAACTATTCAGTAATACACTAATACACTTTCAAAAGTAATTACAAAATATCACAGCACATAAACATACAAAAATATAAGACACAGTTAAACAAACAGTACATAAATGGTAAATATGTTCTCAGAGGCCAAAGGTCATACCTTGAATATATTCCAAGTACTCATTGATTGNCTTCATCTAAATTTTTTCTATTGAGATTTCAAGAAAATTTTTTATTAAAAATCCTTTGAACAAGCAAACAGAGAGTTTTTGTTATCATTGTCTCTGCTTCCAGTTTGATTAGAAGTAGAGACGTTTATTATAAACAATTAGTAATGTATATATACCTTGGCCAAATATTAGTAATTATACTGTAAATTTCAAATATTCAAGAATTGGGTGATTTTTCTGTTTTTTATATGGGATCTTCTAGTGCAATTTCACGTAAATTTGTATTTTCAGCAAATGGGTCCGAATCCAGTGAATGACTACGACCTTTCAAATAAACAATTGGCCAGTATAAATGACGTTTGCGATTCCATGAAACAGCAATTGTTGATTCTAGTGGAATGGGCAAAATATATTCCAGCTTTCACTGAGTTACAGCTCGATGACCAGGTAAGAAAAGTTTCACTAGATAAGGTGATAAGTTATTAGTAGTCCAAGATAAATTGCTTTGATAACAACAAAAATTAGAGAAGTTGAATAATAAATGAGATTGATAACATACTCTTACATAGTATAAGCGACAAGGTTCCAACTTTTATAGAACCTTCAAGTTGAACTAGGGTTACCATCTCACATTGGGTCAGTCTTTACAAAGGAAGGCGGTGTGTCGGAATTGATTGATTCGGCCGTTACTTGATGAAGATCCATAGTAATTTCATAAACTACAGCTCACGATTTGATCTCCACAAACTTTATTTGAAAAATATATCACGTCATGTGTCGCTACCACAGTAGCTTTATCAATCACTGTTGATAAAGCTACTGTGTTTGTGATATATTTTTCAAATAAAGTTTGTGGAGATCAAATCGTCAGGTGTAGTTTATGAAACTCCAGAGACTTATTAAAACCAGTAACTTCTTTTTCGAAAGCCATGTATGTTATAGTCTGTGTATTATTTAATTTTGGAAATGAAGCTGGTAAAGACGACGATAAAGACTATCGTAATGATGACGATGATGATATTAACTATAATGATTTTCATCAAGTGAAAATATCAAATCAATACAATTCTCTTCATTAACTTTATTACGATCCTTATGCTACTATTTAAGAAACTGTACAGAAATCAAATCAGGCTGATGCTTTTATCGACGGAAGATTGACACATACTGAAAAATATTTTTAATTGAAATTTTAAACATTTAACTCACTCCATATAATCAAGTTTACATATTCATTTGATTAGTATGTGTCTCTCCCCGACAAACTCATGATATTGATTAGATTATCTTTTAATTTGGTACACAGGACGTTTCTTTCTTGCTTGGGGACTTTGTTTTCGAGTTGAAACTTCATTATGCGTTGGAGCGTGTATAAAATCTGTCTAGAACCGCACAGCACTGCCATTTTGGTTTTACCTGTCCTGCACCGACGAGGAGTAATACTCCGAAACCTGTTTGTGTGAAAACTTTCACAAATTTGTTTAGGATCTGTTCATAATGTCCGTCATGGGCAGTGTGCACAGTTGAAGTATTTTGTTTTCCCCCAGGCATGTGCCAGATCCTGTGAAGGATTTTGGAAGAGATCAATGTTATCAATTTCAATTCGAAATATTTATTTTCTCAACATTCTGTAATCTACATTTCAAAACACCGGAAGATTTCAATGAATTACTCATATTCCTCTTTCCAGGTAGCGTTACTCAGAGCTCATGCCGGAGAGCACCTCCTCTTAGGTTTAGCAAGAAGATCGATGCACCTCAAAGACGTTTTACTTCTCGGGAATAACTACATTATCACGAAACAATGCCCTGGTAAGCATTTTTCAATATTTTCATATTATGTCTAGAATTCAAGTTCAAATTACTTTCCATTTCCTGTTAGTAATTAATGAAATTGGGATTGTGGATATGCCAAATAGTTACAGGCTCAATTCCCGGCTACTTCTTTCAGGAAAAGAAAAGTTTTTTGTCGGTGCTCTCCAAACACAGTTTACTATCACTGCCAGGAATTCATTTTTGAGATTTCTCATTAGTTTTTTTCAACTATCCAAAGTTATCAGTCTGGCAAGCAACAAACAAAATGAATGACTATCACTCACTGTAAGGCGAATGTTTTCAAATTTTTCACAAATAATCGGCTGTGTATGTGAATATTACTGGAGTTTCATCCCAACACCAAAACGTTATTTTTAACACCTCGACATGTGTTCCTATCACCAAGTGATCATCTTCAAGACGAAGATTATACTAATCATATAATATTGTCCTTATTTATACCATAGATACCTCTGCTAGGTACCTGCGTTTCAATTGTCTTGAATTAATTTTACAATGTTGCCGTATCTAATAGTCAGATAAATACATTCAGGTGAGAGTATTTCAGACAATACTCTTTATGAATAGGTACCATTCGATCTAAAAATGTTCACTCTCAAACTTTATTTTCGAGCAATAGGAATCGAGCAACAATAGGTCATGAAGTCTTTTGGTATTTGATGAAACATTTGTCATGAATTAGTTTTCTGTCAATCAGACTAAAATTACGATGTATACAATAAATTGAGATTATTGTTGCTTGTTTAATGGAGGTTGTTAAATGTACACAGCAGATACGGCATATTGGATAACTATGTTTGGCGAGCAAATCTCGTAAATTCAATAGTCTTAAATGGTTGTTTGTCAAACAGTCCCGCATTCTAACAAAACTAACATCTCAATTGACACCAGTCCTTGATGAGTCATAAGTGGTGTTGGTATTCAATGTCTCCCAGCGACAAACATCCACATCATTTTTACTAAAACAACCCGAGCCTTATCACTAACGACAATTAAGCTTATAATATGAAATAATAATGTCCCCCGTCTTATCAATCTGTGACATTAAATGTATACTTGCATGTTATTACTTCATGAAGACAACATTAATTGGAGACATCCCAAGGCCATGGTAATAGCAAATACGTAATGATGTCCATTACTGTAATTTCTTCGATAATGGGTTTCTTGCGATTGAGGAAAATTTTCTTAATTTCTTTTGCCTATCGTCTGACAATGACGCACAAGTCGTAGCGAACATAAAAACTAGGAATCTTGTTGAAATTCATTGTAGTTGTAGAATCCTGTGATTAAATCTATTAAGATATATCGTACGCACTCAAAAGTTTTCCAAAATCAGAGGTCAGTTTTTTAATTCAATTTGCGATGATATCGAAAATAACTTTTACTAGACAGAGTGCATGTCAGAATTAACACTATTTTCAATCAATTTATTTACAAAATATGACAAAATGGATAAGGCCTTCGCGGCCGAGGTTTTCAGTGTTTTTATTTTTCGGGTTCGAAGGACGTCGATTTTTGAAATTTCTTCCTGGCGTTTAGCTGGCGAGACTGGCTAACTTCTTCAGAGTTTATCTCCGATGAGTGGACATTACGGCTGCGTAAAGCGTATTTATGTTGACTCAGGTAGTTTGGTGTGTTAATACCTGCACTTGAATTAGGTAAATTGGGTAAAGCGTATTTATGTTCTCAGGTAGTCTGGTGTGATAATACCTGTACCTGGATTAGGTAAGGTGTCAATAACATTTTGAACATGCAAACAGCATGCCGGCAGGTAGAAAAGGGTTGTCATATGTTATTGACACTTTACCTAATCCAGGTACAGGTATTATCACACTAGACTACCTGTGTCAACATAAACACACTTCATGCAATTTACTTGATCCAGGTACAGGTATTAGCACACCAAACTACCTGAATAAAAAAAGTCAGACTGTCTCTATAAACATGTCGAAGGATCTGTGTTAAAACTTGGGACTTACGTCCCAAACAAATCCATTGGATTTATATGATGATTGTCAGACCAATGATCACTTATGGTGCAGTTGCTTGCTGGCCGAAGGCTTTACAGAAAACAGCCGAATCGAAGCTCTCTGGCTTACAGAGACAGGCTTGTCTGGCTATCACTGGTTCCATCAATACCATACATACCGTCAGCGGCCATGGAGATACTTCTAGGTCTACCTCCTCTCCGCATTTTTCTGGAGAGGGAGGCTAGATGTACTGCATATAGACTTATGCACATTGCCAATTGTACAAATCAATTAAATGCAGAGTGCAACAGACTGTTAGTTGACACTGGAAGTCACAGCATTCTGGAAATGACCTCTGACTTTGTGCCTCCAACTGTCAACTACGAACTGCCTTATAAAGTACTATTCCCGCATAGAGAGGACTGGATCCTCCGAGAGAAGGAAATATTAAGGGCAGATAGTTGTTGGTTCACAGATGGACCAAAAACACCTTTCGGTTCTGGTGCAGGTGTTTTTAGTCGCAGACCTAGGACAGAGATATCTACCTGCTGCCTAGGAACTCTGCGACTGTATTTCAAGCGGAAATTTACTCTATTGAATTGTGTACGGAAAGATTGGATAAATCCAACCTCACACACAAGTCAATAAAAATATTCTCGGACAGTCAAGCGGCGTTGGAAGCTCTTGGTTCCTACCAAGCAACGCGAACATCTAAATTGGTAGCAAATTGCCAAAAACGACTCTCATCGATAGAAAGACTTAACAGATTGTCTCTGGTTTGGATTCCTGGCCACACTGTCCTGGAACGTAATGAAGCTACTGACTCTCCTGTAAAGGAGGATGCTGCAAGAGGCTTCTTCGGGCCAGAACCTGTCATTGGCATCGCTTTGGGCTTTGCCAAACAAACATTGAACACCAAGATGGCAAGAAGATTTATGGACTTCTGGCAGAATCCTCCAGGATTGGCTCACTCCAAGGTGTTTATCCACCCTTCGAAGCTTGATACCAAACAGTTATTGGAATACAGTAGGGATGAACTACGATGTCTAACAGGCCTTCTTACTGGTCACTGTCATTTGAATCATCATATGCAGAGACTTGGACTGTCGGAAGACAGTGTGTGTCGCCTCTGTTTAGAAAATGATGAAACAACAAAGCATATACTTTGTGCCTGTCCCGCTGGGGACCGAATCAGGTTCTTAGAGTTCGGCAGATCCGTGCTCTTACCATATGACCTGAAAGACCACTCACCATACAAACTAATCGGCTTCATTAAGAAACTGTGTTTATTTGACCGGGTGTGAATAGATCAAGTAATATGCTTTACGCAATTTACTTGATCCAGGTACAGGTATTAGCTCACCTGAGTCAACATAAACACGCTTTACGCAATTTACTTGATCCAGGTACAGGTATTAGCACACCAAACTACCTGACTCAAAATAAACACGCTTTACACAATTTACTTGATCCAGGTACAGTTATTAGCACATCAGACTATCTGAATCAACATAAATACGCTTTACGCAGCGTCATTACCCAGTCATCGGAGATAAAGTCAGGATGTATTAACCTCTGGAGAAGCTAGCCTCTCGCGCCAGCAAACGTCAGGAAAAATGTCCAAAAACCGACGGCCATTAAACCCAAAAAATAATGACTCTTACAAATGGTTGATGAAGTCAGTTTTCTTATTTTATTCCTCAAAACAAAAAACCCATTGCAATTGTTCCACTACATTGAAAGTAAGATTTTTTTAAGATTTAACAATAGTTTGGATGCCTCGATTTACTATAACAATGATTTGGCCTCTGTGCGTCTTTCAGTTTGTTGTCTTCTCGTTCTTAGTCTGTGCCTCATTGAAAAATGTTGATGCAAGTACTGTTTTATATCGGTAAAAAATAGGGGACTCTGGTTACTGGTCTCTCGACAAATACTTTTAAAAATTTAAATCATTATTCAAAGCTAAAATTTTCAGTGAGACACAGTACTAGTGAATATCAGCAAGATAGTACGTTTTCAGTTGTTGATTTGGTTTAGCATGTTCGTACATTTCATCATGTCCGCAAAAACATCGTGGCAGGGTGTACGATGAGTGATTTATATGATTCTAAACTAATTACGGGGGTTTAATTGCAGTGTATGTGATACGTGTGTTGACCCAATTAAATCTAAATACGACATTAAATTATATTTTTCCTTGAAAATTCAAGTACGCTAGCCAATTAGATGATAATATTACGTTTTTTTATTGGATATCGCAGATTGGTTACTGCGAAATGGTTTTATTTTTTCACTTCATGACAATCACAGTAACAAGGTTGCCAATCGATTGATAATCTTCGGTAAATTACAATATATACAGATTGTTTCGGATCTGAAGAAATGAACTTTAAATGTTCAAGACTGACGCCTATCAGAAAACAACTACTCCCCTGGCTAATGCCACGAACGGCGTTGGATTATATCCGACAACATACTGCGTAGGTATATCCGAGACTAGCTTGAACATTTAAAGCTCATTTCTTTGGATTTGTTTACTGCCTGTCTTCAAGCATAGCCCACTGACTAATAAAAAAGTTTTTCTTCCTTATTCAGAGGAATCGGGCAAATTTCGGATATACAGTTAGTTAGTACCTCGTCCACTAGATGGAGTGACATTTTTATTGTTCGCTCCAACTTAGGACGAGGAATGAAATACTCTGAAGGAATTTCGATTTTTATTATGGAATATCATTGACTTTAGGTCGATGATGTCCACTATATTGCACTGACGAGTGGCTGAGAAGCCCGAAACCGGCTGCAAATATGCTCGTTCCAAAATTGAAGCTCGACTCTTTCAGTTGTATTGCCGATTGCACTGACGCTTGTCGGATATAATCCAACGCCGTTCGTGGTATTATCCAGAGGAGTAGTTGTTTTCTGATAGGCGTCAGTCCATTCAACCTACTGTGTAGGTATATTCGAGACTGGCTGGCACATTTGAAGTTCATTTTTTTAGGTTTGTTTACTGCCTGTTTCAAGCATAGCTCACTGACTAATAATACAGATTGTTTCAGACCTTAACTTACAAAATCATAGTGCTTTAGTAACTCCCTATTGGGTAGTCGTTACCCACGAGCTTACCCAAAACACCTCAATGGGTCCACCGTTTTCGTTTTCTTCTCAGTCTTGAGTTTCAGTTATAGGGTTCAAAATTTAAAAGCACAAAAACATTGAATCAATGTCCAAAGTTGCTTCGAAGCAATCTATTCTTCAAAAAACCCAGCTTCTCAACGAAGCCGATTACTTTGTATGGTGAGTGGTCTTTAAAGTCAGATGGTAAGAGTACGGCTCTGTCGAACTCTAAAAACCTGATTTGGTCCCCAGCGAGGCAGGCACAAAGTATGTGCTCTGCTGTTTTATCATTTTCCAAACAGGCGCGACACACACTGTCTTCCGACAGTCCGAGTCTCTGCATATGATGATCCAAATGACGGTGACCTGTAGGAAGGCCTGTTAGACATCGTAGTTCATACCTACTGTAGTTCAACAACTGTTTGGTATCAAGCTTCGAAGGGTGAATAAACGCCTTGGAGTGAGTCAATCCTGGAAGATTCTGCCAAAAGTCCATACATCTTCTTGCCATCCAGGTGTTCCATCTTTGTTTGGCAAAACCCAAAGCGATGGCAATGACAGGTTCTGGTCCGATGAAGCTGCTTGCAGCACCCTCCTTTGCAAGGGAGTCAGCAGTCTCATTGCCTTCCAGGCCAGTATGGCCAGAAATCCAGACCAGAGACAATATGTTAAGTCTTCCTATCGAGGAGAGTCGTTATTGGTAATTTGCTACCAATTTAGACGTTGCTCGTTAGGAACCAAGAGCTTCCAACGCCGCTTGACTGTCCGAGAATATTTTTATTGACTTTTGTATGAGGTTGGATTCTTCTAATCTCTCCGCACACAAATTCAGTAACGTAAATTTCCGCTTGGAATACAGTTGCATAGCTTCTTACATTTCTGTAGTACATTTACCTCAAAGAAATATTATGCTCTCCGGGGTGACTAGCAAATTCAAGTTCTTGTCATCGAGATCTGCCAAATCATCAAATTTTTGTCCAGTTTTTGTCGACCTTTGCTCCAAATATTTGCTTGATGTATGGTAATTAGCGATGTTAATATCGTTATTCGCCATTAAAATTTTCTATACTATTAAATATCTGGGCTATGAGGAACTCGAGATCACCAGAGAATCCAAGCAGTATAGATGTCAGTATTAGTACGTTCTATAGTTATCTGACTTCCTGTTTGATAATTTCTCGCATTCTCTGCACTGGACATGTTTCAATTCCTTTCTTAGCATGTTTTGTGTTGCGTTTTCCGCTTTGTTTGCAATTACGTTAGGAATTTCAAAACATTTTCAACGGAGACCAAAGACAAAGCAGTCGTAATCAAACACCAGACAATCTATCATTCTGAAACCAATTTGTAGATTATATAATATTTCATTGTTCAAAGTATTCAGCTGAAATTTTGCACACTACGTTATTATTGTTCATTGGGACAGAATAAGAAAACTTTCGGAAAATTCCCTATAGCTAATGGTCACCCTAACTACCATATTAACCACGACACGCATTTGCATGCGAAACCATTGTGTTTGTGTTTCTTCGCCGCTGGGTGGTTGATGAAATATTTGGGAAAATGTACGAACATGAAAAGCGATATTACTTATGTACGGACTCGTGTCCAATATAGCAGTGATGTTACCAGATCATCGTAACCTATCCCCAGATTTAAGCATCTCCAGGGTGGGCACCCGCATCATCGACGAACTGGTGAAGCCGATGAATGACGTCCAGATTGACGACACGGAGTTCGCCTGCCTCAAAGCCATCGTCTTCTTCGATCCAAGTAAGTTATTATTATTATCATTATTTTTTATTGTTATTTTTTTAACCGAAGGGTAAGCTGGTCGGGCCGTGACCCCGTGACTCATTCGGGGGGGGGCGCCACTATTATCAACCGGTGAACACTCTCCACACCGTGAAGTGGGTGATCATTAGGTTAGGTTAGGTCCAAAGTGAGTTGGTCTATTCGATCCTCCACCGCAACCCTCAACGGTTTGTTGTGGGTCACACCTATTCACACTCGACCAAATAAACCCAGCTTCTTAACGAAGCCTATTAGTTTGTATGGTGAGTGGTCTTTCAGGTCAGATGGTAAGAGTACGGCTCTGCCGAACTCTAAAGACCTGATTCAGTCCACAGCGGGGCAGGCACAAAGTATATGCTNTCCCCATATGAGGGTTTTTGCAGGTCAGCTACACCTGACAATGCCTTAGATTCAACCGTGCAGGGCTTTTTCGCCTCTGGTTTTGGTGAATCATCACTTGAGCGCAAGCGTTTGCTAGCCTGCTCATGGGGGGTTTGTTCCTCCACCTGAGACAGATTCTGCGTACGCCACTCAAGAATTTGGTGCAAGGCGGTTTCATAAGGTACCCCGCTCTTAAGGAGACGACTCAGTTGTTTCCTGGCTGCACCACCAAATCTTTTTTTAGGTTCAGTTATTGGATCAGGAGTTGGAGGGTTGAGAAGCTCTCGCTCCTGATCTAAATATACAGGAAGGTCTCAGTTGGAGTTATAAGCACGACATCCATCTCCTCTGTAGAATCACTCCTGATCTAAATTCACAGGGAGGTCAATTGGAGTCGTAAGATCGACAACCATCTCCTCTGTAGACTCAGCGTCAGAAAGAATTTTTTAGTTTACTCTGTCCATAAAAGTCCCACGAGCAGCTAGGGAAAGAAGGTCAATCATGGCAGAGCCCCGCATTACCGTGACAAGGGGATGCTACGACGAGAGGGCGCCCTGTATCTCGAAAGTTCCGTAGAGACAGCTGATAGGCTCAGTGTCATTCATCCTCTCGGCACCGATACGCACACCTTAAGCCATCATTGGAATGCCATTCAGTTAGGGAATAACAGAACTACAAGTGATTCTGTCATTCTCGTATCCAGCGGGGCTACGTGGAAGCAGGCATCCGATGGCCGTTTTGCTCGACCCCCACATCCCAAGCCAATGCACTCGCCAAAAATAGCATGCACAGTGGTTCAGGCAGTGAAAGATGAATAAGGACAGCCAACCCGCCTGGTGGTCATCTTGATAGGGTCTATGGAGTTCAAAGAGAAAAATATCGATATAAAGCAATAAAGCACTTCTAGGAACGCGTTAGGTCGATGGATTTACGCTCCAGCCCACTCGACCTGAGGAAACAAACATCAGGTGCTTTGATTGGCCTAGCTGCCCAGCTCTCCAATGTTATTGAAGAAGACCAATGCATCAGGTTATCCTATAACTGCCGCAGGAGTGAATTGATCTCTGCGGTTTTTATGTGGCTCTTTTCAGGAACGGGTTCCAACTCGGTGGGAAGTTGTGATCACCTCGTTTATTGTCAAAATCTAAACCAAATTCATCAGCCGCTCGAGCGGCAGTTCAATTTTAGTTCAATGTTACATCTCAGTATATTTCAACTATACGAAAAACCTTTGGAAAGCGTTTGTGATTTTTTTTCAAATGTTTGATTTAAATTCAAATCTGAATAATAAAATTCAGAATTTTAAAAGTTCAAAGTATTGAAGCAGTGAATAACAAAAGTCTTGAATATTTCTATTAAATTATAAAAACTGTAACAATCGAATTACTACGCTAATCATAAACAAAGTAAAAGTAAATAATTTTCAGATTGATTCGACCGATTCGTGGAGATCAAATCTTTAGGTGTAGTTTATGAAATTATGAAAAAGCTACTGTGTTAGCGAATTGATATTATTCAGAAATAAAGTTTGTGGAGATCAAATGTTTAAAAAAATCTGTTTAAAATCTGTTTTCCGTTAACCAGCTGTCGCACCCCTACGAACGACAACCCTCAGAAGTCGAAACTTGTGCGTGCTGAGGATTAACGAGGTCTTACCTTTTAACGTGTGATTCCTAACACGTTAAAGGTATAGTTCATGAAAATAAAAGTAAATAATAGATAAAAAAAATAAATGAGGCATATGGAAGTTTTAATGACATGTAGACAATTGTAGATAAAATTGCATTTCTCGCATAAGCATTGAACAGAGACCTTTTTGATCGTTATCTTACAGTATATGATATGAAAAGATGGAATTATTCAGTCATAACCCATGAAATATGAAATGAAATACTATTTTTCGACTTAAATCATCTGTTCTGATAAAAAAACATAGTTTTTCATATAACTCCGAAAAATATAACTCAACCCAGTTTTTCCAAACAACAAAAAATATGATAACATGAAAATTTCAAAATGGATATTTATAGCATAGCCGACAACAAATCAAAAATAGATCACAACTGTTGTTGCAGATCTTGCAAAAACATTTGTTTGAACATTGATGGCAAAATAAAGTACTGTAAATGAACAAATCGGAAATTTTTCGACGGTATTGGGAGAAGTCTGGAGGAAAACAAAATGAAATCGATATTCAAGTCAACGAAAATCATCAGACAGCCAAGATCCTATGAGTATTTCAGCAACACCGGGGCTTTAACGGATATCTTGTTGTGGATCGGTCTACATTGGCACCACGAAAATAATTATAAGTATCCGGCTCTCTGTACACAAGAAAATTTGTAATCTGAGACATACCGACAATAGTCGGCAGTAGAGGACAGGAACATGCACTTTAAAAAGGCACCAGTGTGGGAAGATACCCGTATGATCGATGGAACTCAGAGCTACTAATCAATACTCCACAGGGAGGCGATAGAAATTCAGAAACACCAAAATAGTTTCTACCGAACGATAGAAGGAATTGAGAGAGTAAACAAAGTTCAAAAAATACGGCGTTCAATGCGTTCAATCACTTTTTTAATTATGAATAGATTTCGATGAATTCTGAATAGTAATTAATCAAAACCTGCTAAATCCATTCAAGGGGTCAGAATTTTGATGAAAGTTCTAAAATTGATGGCATAATTTAATGGCATTTCGACGTAATTTTGACATGAAACTTTCACAAAAAACTAAGTGAAACCAGTGACATGATCATGATCATCAATCTATTGAGTATAATACCTATCGTTTGAGCAATATAAAAAGTATTCAAAAAAACTCATTTAAATCGGAAGTGTTTGTAAGGACTTCCGAAAAATTTATGTTCATAAATTCATAAATTTGTCCGACAATGCCACTGTTAAAAAATCTATTAAAATCTCTCATTCCGTTATCTAGCTGTTGCCCCATATGAACGATCACTCTTCTTAAGCCATAACTCTTCCTTAAAAAACTACAACTTATCAACAGAAAACTTTTCATCGCCATCGTTTATTCAGAAACTCCTCATGTGAATTTTCCAGATGCCAAAGGCCTCAGCGAGTCAGCGCGAATCAAAAACCTCCGCTACCAAATCCAAATCAATCTAGAGGATTACATCAGCGATCGCCAGTATGATAGCAGGGGAAGATTTGGAGAGCTCCTGTTGACCCTTCCTCCCCTTCAGTCAATCACATGGCAGATGATAGAACAGATCCAGTTCGCCAAACTTTTCGGTGTTGCCCACATCGACAGCTTGCTTCAAGAAATGCTGCTGGGAGGTGAGTTCACAAAAGGTTTTTCTATTTTGGTTTTACCTATCCTAATATCTACATATACCTCGATTTTTGTTTAGAAGTCAGTATAACTATGGTAACTAGTTCTGTATCAGTATCTGTAGAGTAGGGAGGGTAAGTGTAGGCCCACAGCACTTAGGCCACATGTGACCCCGAGGAGTTGTCCTCCTAGGTCATCGTTCATCCTGCCCTCTCCAGGAAGGTGGACAGGTCACCGGGAGACATATCCTTTATATGGGCAGGTGTAGGCCAAAACTAGCCGAACACACACTCTATTATTGACGATAACTCCGGACACTCGCATAGCACATGCCTGACAGTTTCATCTTCCTGTTCACACATCCTGCATAGAGGTGTGTCCACTTGCCCCATATTATGGAGGTGTTTCCTTAGTTGACAGTGGCCAGTCAGAAATCCTAGCGTAGATTTTTCCTGGTCATCGCCAGATATTTCTTCGGCGCCAGCTTCCCAGGATGATTTTGGCAAGATTGCATCCTTTGATTTCTTCCCATATCTTTAGGGATGGAGCATGGGTGTAATGTTTGACTAGCTCCGCAATTGTCGAAGTCATCAGGCCGTAGGTGCCACTGGGTCCTAAAATTCTTAGTCCAGTCGCTTCCTTGGCTAAAGAGTCGGCAATGCGATTACCTTTACTCATGTCGTGCCCTTCAACCCGCCTAAGGATAATGTTATTATCTACCGAGGCTTTGGCTAAATCTTGGTGGCACTCTAGTACTAGCCCTGAGGTACCACGTTGTCTGTTCAAGGCTAATAGTGCTTGTCTGCCATCAGTGCAAATTGTTATTTTTTTGCCAGAAATTCATTTCCTGGTTATTTCTTTTGTGGCAATTGAGATACCAGCCAGTTCAGTTTGAACCACCCTGATATTTTTCCCATTCCCCAATGAATCCTTAGGCTTGGTGATCTGGAGTACATTCCACATACGGAGATTTCTTTGGTTTTTGAGCCGTCTGTATATATGCGTATTGCATTTGTAGCATATGAATCTGTGTTCTGTTTTTGTAGGGTTTATTAAACACAAACCTGGGTTCAATTGCATCACTGGTTGTCTGCAGCAGAGGTTGCGCAGTGACCGCTTCTCGTGGTAAATAGTTACACTGGTAACAAGTGTCCTCAAGTATTCAATTGAATTCAATTTTCTACCAGTTAAAGGTTAATTTTTCTCATAACCTGATATTACATATCGATTTCGAAGGTTGTAAATTAGTTGTGCATCTAGTGGAGAAAAATGATCAACAAGTAGGTCAAATCAGTACCTATCTAAAAATAGGATCAACCAAAGTTAAGTTAGATCCACATCACCTATGAAATAACAATCAACACTAAACTATTCCACGACAACTTAATTTTTCAAAACGTTTTTTGCCTCATCCAAAAAATCGTACATTTTGGACCTACACAGATTACAACCTTCAGTATCAATATATTTAATTTCATATCTGACTAAGAAATTTTATAACGAGTTTCGTATTTCTAAAATTGGAAATGACCGAAGTACCATGAGAAAGTCTAGCCCACTTCTCCTCTTCTTAAAAGTAGAAACGATAAAAGTATTGCTTTATATCTAGCAGAGGCTCAGTACCAAGTTCTATGTGTTTAACGTTGAAAATGACAAACGTGCCATAAGTCTTGCATAATACATCTGCACGTTTCACAACTGTGCAGAAACCATCTGGATCAAACATTATGTATTTATGACGAATACCAGCATCCCTCTTTTTGGTCTCCCTCGCTCGTCAACTAATTAAAGAATAGATTCCTTTCCAGGAACCAGCATTGAAACATCCCCAACCACCATCGTCGTGCCAAACTCCACTACGACGGCCAACAACAGCTACCAAAGCACCAGCGACTCGGCTGACAGCCCTATCACGTCGCCCAACACGACTCCAAGCAGTCCACAAGACCATCTAATCAACGGAAATGTAACCAGTCCGCAGCAGACAGCAGCGACCTCTAACGTTTTGATTATGAGAAACATGACTTCTCTGGATGAACCTGTGTCTTATTCGATGTCTTTCAAACAAGAGCCTCTCAAGGAGGAACAGCACAGTTTTTAAATAGTAGATGTAAGTAGTGTAAGTAGGTGTTACTGAGTGATGGAACTCTTAAATAAATTGAATTGTAATGATTTTTTCTACTGATAATAATAAACATAATTCCGGACTTTCACTAACTTTGAAGTTGAAACAAATAAATTCTGTAGGGCTATACAAGATATGGACCTATTTTAACTCCATACTGGGCTTGAATGTGAAGACTGGAGCTTCTTCAGGCTTAGGAAAACTGAGATAAATATTTAGTTTTCATCTTCCATAGATGTTATCACAATTCGCATGAATGGATTTTTCCAGAAAAATTGATAATAATTGACAACAGCATTAAAAAACGGAATTGGTTAATGCCAAACTGAAACAACAGAATAATAATGCTACTTAGCTTTTATAAACAATACCACAGTAAAAAACTGAACAATATTATAAGTATAATCCATTGATATTCCATCATTCAAAAAGCATGTAATATAAATGAAGTAAAGAACCTGAACAATACTTATTTTATTGTTCAATACAAAAAATATATGAGTGCCAATCATATTGGTTGAAGCAAATCTGTATATTCAGTTACTTGTAGATAATATTAGGAAGTTCTAAAAATGAAATGATTGCAATAAGCAATAATCTGACTTTCATATTCTCCAGAGCAACGAACGATTCATGCACTTGATGTTTGTTGTGAAATATTGATAAGACTGATAAGTTGGACTAAAAAGTTGTAAAAATGTCTGTTGATAATCTTGCCTTACAACACAAAGCGGTAAAATAATACTTGAGGTTAGAATTTTTTTATAACATGTAATGATTACAGGGTGTTTGCCAAATTGTTTTGATTATTTCAAATGAACTGATTTGCATTTTATTATCGTCCGAGAATTTCGCCTGGAATATGGAGTTGGTACTTCAAATCTATATGTAGCGCTAATTTAGTAACAAAATATTTCGTTGAATATTTGTAAAATATCGCATACATAGTTGTTTTCAGTTCATCGTTGTTTATTTGATGAATTTTATATTTTTTGTGGTTATTGACATTTGCTCAATGAAATAAGTGTAAGGTATTTAGCCTAATATTTTATTGTTGGATATCTATATATTTTATAGGAATTCAAAAAAATTATCTATAAATTTAGTTCTTTTTCCAATTTCTCAAGAGATTTGCATTATTTGTGTACTCTCTATCTGTGGTTATTTTTTCAAATTGAAGATATATTGAACTCAGTTTTTTAAACTCTGCTCTTGCTAAATTGAAAAAAGAACTAAATATTTCTAAAAAATAGGACAAGCAGGAAGTTACCATTATCTGTGTTGATTTGTTGAAAATCTTGTACTATTCAAATAGTTCAATTGTTATCTGTATTATATCTTTTGATTTTTCATTACTGTCGTCCAATACTTTCGTATATAACTGATTCCAATGGCTCAAAGACAGTACAAAGTGTTCAGTGATTCATTTTGACATTAAAATCTTATTTGATTTTTTTAATATTTTGATTTGTTAGACGGAAGTGTTGGAGAAAATTTTTAGGGTTATTACAAACGAGTTGCTATCCATGATGATAATTTTACAGTTTGCACAATGTGAATTTTATTCAAGACGCGTTTCACTACACGGTAACTTCATCAGTTGGACTTTCACATCAAACTATTCTATGTCTTTTATATAACAGTAGGTAGGTACAAAACTTAAGAGTAATGATTAATTCTGATAATCACAATACAATATTACTTCTAGAAAAATAGGTAATTCATTAATATGTTTTGGCATTTTATACCAATATCAGTGTACATGGACTGTATTTCCATGTATGAATTTTAATGTTGTCCTTTTGCGTGATTTTGGTTACTGAAGAGAGCAAATATTTTAAATTGAACTGAACTGTGCTTGCTTTGAGAATTTGGGTGAATTTTTTTGAATAATGTAGGTTTTCCAGTTTCACATCCTGGTGGGTAATAATATTACTTTGAAGACATTTTACAGCAACACCAATCTCACGCATTACTTGAGCATTACTTGAGCGACTCGTTTCTTTCTTCTCACTCCCGACCATTTTTGACGAAATATCGCATACGAGGGGTACGCGACATAGTCACATAGTACAGTAATATCATGGTCTGAATATTCAATCGAATACAAAAAAAATGGTTTAAGAAGCCGCTAGGCTGAGAAAAATAAAAATAATAAATTCAAAAATAGAGGTAAAGACGAAACACAACTGATAGATTCTGGCAAAACAGGTAGTTTTTGGAAAAATGGTTACCTGTTTCGTCAGAATTAATGATTTTTCTGACTAATTAAATTCTGGCATAAAATGCTAGTAATTAGTATAGTTATAAATCACCCATTTACCTAATTCTATAAATAAATTGAAAGTTTTATTTTCCGTGTTTTGAAAAATCACAAGGAAAGAACAGACTATCTCTCACCATAGTTCAGTTTCTTCCTCTACTCCTTTCTCTTCTCTATTTTACCCCACCTCTTGCTCCATCCCTCAAAACTGTCTCTACTTCCCTCAAGCAGTTTTGTTTTCTATCATAGATTTGAAACACCAAAATTTTCTAAATGATTCTCCAATAGATCCACAAAGATGACATTGACAAAAGGTCCTTTTTACTTTCCTCTCTCTTCAGCAGTTATATACATCAAGGCAAACTATCACCTACAATAATCAGGGACATCAAATGAAGGTAATCAGATCAGAGTCGATGAATTCTTAGTATACTGTTATTTCTACTTATACAATAATGGCACGCTGTTATGACACCTATATTCACCTGAATATAGGTCAGTGATTATTAAATGAAGAGAATGAGATTTTCGTCTTCCACATTTTTCGATTTCTAAACTTTCGAAGGCATCTAAAAACCTGTTATTATGTACCGCTTTCCCCACTTATCTCTTTGGATTGGACTTCTCTGGTTCTATAGACTAGAGAAGTCGTTCAACATGCCATAGAGAATGGCCTTAGAAAAAGTGAGGAATATTTGAAATTGTTGATGCCAGTGCATGTCTTCGAAAGTTTAGAAACGGAAAAATGTGATCTATGAACAGTGACAAAAGGTCCCATTACAAACAGCCTCTGTTACGTAAAAATTACAAGTAGAAACCTGGAAAATATTAGGTATCATAACGGTTAGTCACCAATATAGGTATAAATAGGAAAGGATAGAATAGAATAACAACGTTCTAAGAATTCATTAATGACACTCTTATTTGATAACCTCCCGAGGTAACGTGACTGAACCACCAAGTACGGCTAGTTTCTTTTGATGACTCCGTGCATTTGTGTTGTTTCTGCAACCAAATGTTGCCCAACCTTGCACTTGGCTGTACCATACTGATGACAGCTAACGTGTCGGCACATGTCTGTGGTTTGCATATGGAGATGAAAAAATAAATAGATGAATGAATAGATAAATAGACAATAGTCAAAAGAAATAAAAAGGAAATAGATATATGCTACAGATATCTACCTATCCTAACTAAACTTAACAAAAATTCAATGAATAGAAAAATAATAATAAAAGAGTTTGTACTCGAGATAAATTGTTGTCAATGTGTATCACTCCTTATTTGTGATGGTTAAAGAGAACATGTTCAACACACATTGGTAGGTTTGGTCAATCCCAACTCTAGGAAGATTGGTTTTCGCCATGGCTCATTTGACACAAGCCAGGAATCTGTTTCAAAAAAAAAATCTGTTTTTTCGGTAATCAGCTGTCGCCCCTATACGTACGACAACTCTCAGAAATTGAGAAACTTGTGCGAGCTAAGGACTAACGAGGTCTTACCTTTTAACGTGTGATTTCTAACACGGTTGCAGAATCATTCCAGCCTCAACCAGATAAATTATCTCGAAAAAAATATCGCACGGTAAAAGTTGAGAGCTTCTTGATCCTTGCTTGCACCAGTTCAACTTCAAATGGTTGGCTTTGATAAGAGGACGACAGCAGATTAGCAGAAAAGCCCATTTTACCCATTTATGATTGTTAGTTTCATCAAAGTGACAGTTTTCAATGAAAACAGAAATTCTTTTTGGACCTATTTCAAGCTATACAGAAGAGTAATGAAAGGTAGAACTGGGACCTCTGACGTAGCAAAAGTAAAAACAAGCACTTCACAAACCCCAGAACTGCATAACTCTTCTCGACGCGCGTTTCGCCAACCAAGTTGGACGATAAATTTGAGTTCAAATTTGCGAGTTTTTTTTCAAGGGCAAAACACAAGCATTACAGAAAAATCCTCAAGGCGCTCTCAGAGCGGTGCCTGTGCGAAAGTAGCGATTCACATTGGATTTGAATGACTGGAGATTAAATCCATTTGGAAAAACGTTCTCAAGAAGTTTATTCCACATAAACGCAGTTCTCCAAATGAAAGAGTTCTCAAACAGTGAAGTTCAAGGTGTACTGAGTTGAACATCAAAACGATGAACAGCCACAGTCCGTCGCGTATTATATACTGATATGTGGTGGAATCATATGTGCCAAGTCACTTGAACACCTCCCGTAAAAGTATCGGTAGAAGAGCGACAAATCTCCAACCTTTCTTTCCAGGCTATCTCATGGAAGTTCCCTTATTAAATTTCAACAGAGTGCGATACACATCAATTATTTCGGGTAGAAATTTGCGGGAAATCTTCTCGTGAAAGAGTGATTCATGAAAAGGAATTCAAAGAGTTGTTTAGAATGGGACCTCTGTCACTGTTCAAGCATCGAAAAATCTAGTGTCATGTACTGATCTCAACAATTACAGTCAGTTTTCATTCATCTATGACCGTTCTCCAAGTCACGTTGAGATACACTAGATTTTTCTGGTCTTCGAATTTGGATGTTGCTACCTGGGTTTTAATAATAATAATGGTCTTTATTGGGAAAATACAATACAGGGTGATTCAAATGTACTTTGACAAACTTCAGGAGATGATTCCTCGCAATATTCTAATATGAATTGTCCAAATAAATAAATGTCCGAAAACGCTTCGTTTCCAAGGTACAGGATGTTGAAGTTTTATTTTTATTTTCGTTTTTTTCAAATAACTTTTGAAACATGCAACATGCATCGATTATCAAATAATCGACTTGAAGTTTTCAAGTCCAAATATTTAGAAAACGGTTGCTTACAGCGACTAGTAACAAAGGTAGCTTATTTACGTAGATATGATAGAGGAATCGATTTTTTTACTGAAGTTTTTTTACCAAGTTTCGTTTAATTAAGTTCAGTATTTCAAAAGTTATTTGAAAAAAACGAAAATGAAAATAAAACTTCAACATCCTGTATCTTGGAAACGAAGCGTTTCCGGACATTTATTTATTTGGACAATTCATATTAGAATATTGTGAGGTATCACCTCCTGAAGTTTGTCAAAGTACTTTTGAATCACCCTGTATAACATTCAAAAGGCGAAGTCCAAAACTACAGTATAGAACACTACAGGTTTGTTCTACCACTTAACGTCCACAGTCAGCTAAGAGAACTGGCAACAAAAAAAAATAAAACAAATACAAACAAAAAAAATAGAAAAAGTAATACATTATACACCTGATATCAATCAGCATTACAATAACAACAAAAAAATACATATGGATAAACTATTGAGTATTTAAGTTTGTTTACCTAGGAGTTCAATTTTCAATTTTTGGCTAAAAATACTTATTTTGAAATGTTTTGAATGAGGAGGAAGTTTATTGTAAATGTTGCATATCTGATATGTAAATGATCATTTGAAAAATTCATGAGTGTGTATCGGAGGAGTTAATAACCCTTTATGCCGTACATTCAAGTTGTGTACGTCAGTCCGAAAAGTAATTTTATTAAATAGATAAGTCGGAATTTTATTACAGATAAACTTATGATAGAAACACGCTGAGTGTAACGACCTTCGGATTTCCATATTGAGCTTTGACAGCTGACAGCTTTGATGAGATTTTGTTCCTTCTTCGTACCCCATGAATAAGGCGAAGGCAAGAGTTTTTAATCTCTTGGAGTCTTTTCTTGTTCCTAATTGTGAGGCTTGGTCCATAGAGTACATCTGCATATTTCAAAGATGAAAGAACGAGACTGTCACATAGAATAATTTTTGTGTTTTTAGGGAGGAATTTTCGATTTCCGTAAATCAGCTTGAGTAAGAAGTAAGCTTTCTGGATTAGTTTATTCACATGGGAATCAAATCGGAGATCACTGTCTATAGTCACCCCAAAATGTTTTGCTTCCTTCATAATTTCCAATACATTAGAACCTATACTAATATTGAGTTGTTGTTTTACAATATCTCTGTAATTTTTTGGACCAAATATTAGTAATTTCGACTTAGATGTATTATTCATTAGGCACATATTTTCAGCAAGGGATGAAAATGTGTCGAGATCATGACTGATCCGCCTATTAGCGTCATTTACTCTGTGTGGTTCAAAAGAATAATAGATTTGGGTGTCATCGGCATAAAAATGTACACTGCAATACTGAAGGCATTTCACTAATTGACTGGTGTATATCGTAAATAGGAGAGAGCCAAGAATTGATCCCTGTGGAACGCCTGTTTTTTAAACTCGAAGGCTTGGAATGTACTCCATCAAGAACAACTTCCTGGCGTTTTTTGTGTAGATAGTTTTGCAAAAAAAAGAACTGAATCATCTGACAAGCCAATGTAGTGTAAGATCAAGATATAGAAAGTTTACAATAGGGTTGCCAAATAGAAACGCCATTAACAAACCCGACTAGGTCAGCGGTGTGCACCAAATCGTAGGTGCAATAATTCAAAAAAGTGGAGCGCCACCAATTTTTCTTGGCCAGATAAAAACCGGAAAACTGCCCTGTTGCGGGAATACACTATCGTCAAAAAAAATAAATATCTGAACCTCAAGTATATTACTAGCAAAGGCAATTTATTTAGATTTCAAGCAAATAACATTGAACTGTCTGATATTCGGAGTTGAGTTAAGCAATGAATTCACCTAGAAAGACAACAAAAGAAATAATAACAAACGCTAATATGTGACTTCACGTAAAAGCTCAAGTTTCTTCATTCGTTTTTATTTTTCAATGAACTTAGCCTAAACTTAGCTGCTTTTCTGTTGATCCTTATAACGTTGTAAGGAGGTGCAGACTGCTCTAACAATATTCTGTTGATACTGACGCTTCGGAAATTCGACGGTGCTCCCAGCCAACTGCTACGATATATCCACAAAAAGAAATCGTTAAAACAAGCGATTTTTTCAATTTATTGGAATCCAGCTTGCAGATGCGTTTTTCTATGAGGATAGCTTAACACCCTGAAGAAAATATTCTTCGTCACGACAATAGTTATATGAATAGTGTGAAAAAATAATCAGAAGTTAAGATTTATTACGAGTTGAGTTGCACAAAAATATTCTACTAGCCTCTTGACAATGGAGAGTGTTTTCACGGTGATTTTCCTTGGAAAGTTGATAGGAGATGTAGATACTGATTATCTGCCCGATATAAATCCTGCGTTTGCAGCTATGGCAAAGACAAGATGCTCTAAAGCACACAATATCAAAAAGAAACCACACTCAGCAGAAAATTTCAAAATACCTTTTTGGTAATTGACCAACGAAATAATTCGACTAGGCAAAACTTCAGTTAGGAATCAACTACTACTGAATTGGTTTCCGTCAAAACTTTCCTTTTTGAAGAAAACATCACAAAATCGCTTCATTGTTTTTATATCAAAATAATCATAGGCGGGTAGAAGTGAATAAAGGATCACCAATCTGCAGAAAAGTTATATGAAAATGGACACAAAGTTTGAAAAATGTATTGATTGATCTAATCGTATATCAAAAATATAAAAACAAATATTTTTAAAGGATTGAAAAAATGAAACCCTAACAATGTGCTGCGTGTTCTTTGAAACGAGTTTTAATGGCTTGCTTAGTCTGACCGATATATTTTTTGTTACAGAAGAGTGTGTGTTTTGGATATATACAGATAAGTGTTGAATATATAGAAACAAAAAATCTCTCTTTTACTTTCTTAGTTGAAAATGGTAATGTAACCATTTGCCTTACTAGGAGTATTATACTTCTAAATGATTTTTTTTGCTTTATTCGTATTATTATTGGATTGATTATTTCATGTTATTATTTCTTACTTGTAACTATGTTTTTATTTGTAACTAATGTTACTGCAGTTTTGTTCTACGAGAACATTTTCCAACAATTACAATAAATAATTGTTCGAAAATGTACTTATAAGACGAAACTACAGAAACATTAGTTACAAATAAAAGTGGTAAAAAACATACTTTTATTTGTAACTAATGTTACTGCAGTTTCATCCTATAAGGACATTTTAAAAAAATTACAATTAACTTGCTTATTGTAATCGTTTAACAATTTTTTATACAATTTGTTTATTGTAATTGCAATAAACTTGTTTATAGGACTAAACTGCAGTAACATTAGTTAGAAGTAAAAGTGTTAAAAAAAACAGAGAAGACTTTATTTCCCATTTTTCATGATGACATAGTAACGCCTACATGCATCAATTTATTACAAATATTCAAATACTTTCATTCGACACATAGTAAAAATTGGTTATTTTTGGTTGTTATTTTTCTAGCTTATTAAGCAAAAACGAAGGGAGAAATAAAAGAGAACATGAAAAACTTGTTCCTGTTGTTCAGACGAACAGAGTTTTCATCATATTTAATAAAAAAAATGTATCAATATGATTCACAGAAAATAGCAGTACCAACATTTTTTTCATTGCTTATCTTGGAGGAACTTTTAGCTGAACTGTATCAATGAGATCATTCGAAAGAATCTTGACATATTTGCCAAACTCTGAAATGTATACACCTTTCTTTGCATAACCCCACTTATACATAAAATTATTGAATGTTAATTATATATTTCAAAACTATTCACAACAATTCCTCCATATTTATCCTTTTCCGTTTCTTGTGATTTACAACCATATTTGCTGCTTCTAATAATGCACCTGAATCCACCAACCAAGTGTTCAGCTTCGTCCTTGCTTTAGAGGCGTCTTGGAAAACTCTTCGCTCCAAAGAATCTAAACGTTCCTGGACGGAAGGATCCGATATTGAATTATCAGCAAGGTCCATCAGCTGCCTGAAACGTGTTTTGAATGTCTGAAAAAAAAAAATATTTGTAAGTAATGACCCTGACATAAGTCTCTTCAACTCAAATGTATTCATCTGATGAAATATAAATTATGTTCATAATGTGAAAGGAGGTATTAATCTGTTAAAAGGAATTTCAACACTCCATTGTTCTTGCATTTGCACATTTTTCTGACACAATAAGTGCTTGAGCAGTAACTCTCACATACATGATACAATTTTTTTGTCTAACATAAAAGTCATGAAAATTTTTGTGATATTTGTTCAAAACATCTATAAAAAATTACAAAACTATATGTTGTTATTACAATCACATATGAAAATAACATCTTTAATTTTTTCATTGACCTTTGTCGGATATTTTTACCCTCCACTTTTTAGTTTAGGTTAGGTTAGGTCCAAAGTGAGTTGATCTATTCGACCCTCCACCGCAACCCGCAAGGGCTTATTGTGGCTCACACCTATTCACACTCGACCAAATAAACCGAGCTCCTTAATGAAGCCGATAAATTTGTATGGTGAGTGGTCTTTCAGGTCAGATGTTGAAAGTACGGCTCTTCCGAACTCTAAAAACCTGATTCGGACCCCAGCGGGGCAGGCACAAAGTATGTGCCCTGCTGTTTCATCATTTTATAAACAGAGGCGACACACACTTGTCTTCCGACAGTCCGAGTCTCTGCATATGATGATTCTAATGACAGTGACCTGTAAGAAGGCCTGTTAGACATTGCGTTCAGTAAATTTGTACTTCACAAGAATGAAAATTTTGGAATATTTGCTGATATCCACATTTTTCTTGATATTTCAGGGTACTTCTCAGTATGGAGTAAATTGCCCATAACGACGATGGTTTCAAAGTTTTTGCTAAATCTATTCGACCCTCCACCGCAACCCCCAAATAAACTCGACCAAATAACTCGACCAAATAAACTCAGCTTCTTAACGAAGCCATTTAGTTTGTTTGGTGACTAGTCTTCCAGGTCAGATGTAACTCTAAAATCCTGATTCGGTCCCCAACGGGGACTGTCTTCCGACAGTCTGGGTCTCTGCATAAGATGATTCAAATGACAGTGACCTGTAAGAAGGCCTGTTAGACATCGTAGTTCATCCCTACTGTAGTCCAACAACTGTTTGGTATCAAGCTTCGAAGGGTTGATAATCGCTTTGGAGTGAGCCCATCCTGGAATATTCTGCCAGAAGTCCATACATCTTCTTGCCATCCAGGTGTTCAATCTTTTTTTGGCAAAGCCTAAAGCGATGCCAATGGAATCCAGACCAGAGATAATCTGTTTCTATTGAGGAGAGTCGTTTTTGGCAATTTGCTATCAATTTAGACGTTGCTCAGTAGGAACCAAGAGCTTCCAAAGCCGCTTGACTGTCCGAGAATATTTTTATTAACTTGTGTATGAGGTTGGATTCTTCCAATCTTTTTAGTTTACCCCGATAAATTACTGCTTGAATTCAAAGTATTCTTCACAAAAAAAATGTTCTATTTATCATCTGTTGAAGAAGTTGAGGAATGAAAATAATCAGCAAAGGAAGAGCTGCATATAGACTTAAATTTTGTCCATTTCTGAAGACAGAAGCATATTTTGGCCTCAGAAGTATATTGTAAAATTTCTTAGTTCTTTTTTTGATACGCAATATTATTGAATACGGGAAATTACTGATAAATAGAACATTTTTCTTTGTGAAAAATACTTTCAATCTACGTAGTAAGTTATCAGGGTAAGCTAAAAAGTTTCCCCTCTCTACATGTATATAGAGTTCTCCATTACAATTTTCATATTTTTCAAATTGTAGAAGGTGAAAATATCCAAATAAGGACCATCAAAAACTGAGTTTCCTCCACAAAAAATTACATTCGTTCAATAACATTTTTCATATATGAAACTTACGTGTAACAAAATTTCATGTACATCGCCTTTGCGGTCAAAATGTTTTACATGAGCTCCCATCTCATAAAAAAATAAGCTGAACTTATGCAGATCAACTGCAGCTGCATCAGCTTTGAGGATTTCCCTGTAAGACTCCTTGAATATCTTGGGTAAATCTGGTGACACGATTGGCTGACGACCTGAAGACATTTCCCGAACCAACCATATCGGTAACTCCAGCGACGTTCCAGCTGATAAGTCTTTTTCCAGAACTGATGGATTCAGGTGCCCTACAATTCTATACTTTATTTCACTACATCAAGTTACTTTTGCTCTAGGTCGAAAGGATGTCTGCTTCAAATAAAAAGATATAACTAATAACAGTACAAATATGTGAAATTGAGTGAGTAATATACTGAGCATCCAGTACATACGTTACTCAAATTCTTCAAAGAAATGTAAAGAGTATTTGAGGAGGCATTGCTTCTTTTTAATTCATTTAAGTGGTTGTATAATTCCAATTTAAATCCTTCGCTCTATTCTGCTAATAAAGAAGAATGAATGAATGAAACATAATCTGATAGGCAGCCTTAGTTGACATCAATCAAACTTGGTACCTGTATCCTGACCTGTAAGTTGTAATTAATCGGTAACCAGGTATTCAATATTCATATTTGGTGTTGTGGATACAGATAATTGAACTGTTTGTTTACTACCAGTGTTCTAGGTTTCATGTGATTAATTTATTATTCGGATATTCGGTGTTGCATATTGTTAAAATGCTCACCATCAATTGTAGTGCTCACAGAACACATCACCTTATCTTTTAAATGTAATTTTAATTGATATTTTTTGAAATTAATACAGAGGAACAGTTCAAGTTCTAATGAGACAGTACACTCTACAGTATGTTGAATACTACGAAAATAGCGCAGAGTATACCACTTTGAATATGTACAAGACTTAAACTTAAATGGGATACACACATTGTCCCTCTATGTACAGCGGCCTATACCTGACCATGTAATTATGACACCATCAACCAACAAAACCAAATGTCAATTTGAAAAACTGAATATTCCTGAACTACTATATAATATAGAAATAATAGAAAATCTTTGGTAATGCTGGCAAATATATAATACCTAATAAATGAATATCTTTTGAACACTCAGGTAGTTTTTGCTAAAAAACTACCACAACCTGTCGAACTTTTTTTTTTGAATGTCGAAATTTTTTATTAAAACAACGATAAAAATGAAAACAACAATAAAAATTAATTCGCGCTCCGGGACAACTCATTGATTCCAGTGGCGCATTTGTTTTTTTCAGCTACAGGAGAACCCAGAAAAATCTGCAGCACCACATCATCTGAAAATCTTGACCTACCAATGTCCCCTCTCTTATAAAACAAAATGTAGGGTGTCTCCAGAAGCTCCAATAGATTTAATGCATCGCCAGAACACTTCGTGACACGATTATCGTCAAACTTAAACCAATCCGTTTCGTCTTTGACCAAGATGTAATAATGACCAAATTCAACGCCAGAACCACAGTGAACAATGACTGCATGAATATTATAATAGTGGTCTGCTAGATTGAAATGTTCAGCTATTTTGAACCTTCCAAAGAGTTTCTTGCTTCTGTCAGAGGTTGAGTCTTGTTTGAAAATCATCAGTGTTATTATTAGATTGACTGGTGCCTCAGCTATACTTGTTTCCTCATAACAGTCAGTTAAACATCAGAGAAAATGGAAGAAAACTTACCCATCTTTGGAACATTCATGAGAAATTTGCAAGGAGTTCGTTCTTGCGTTGCCAAGATATCGTCAATGGAATAATAATTTGGATAATAACCGGTCTGCAGGGGCATCTTGAAACCGAATTCGTTACTACATTTCCCAAAACTTGAATTAAAAAATTTCAAATCGAAAATGTAATACAAAAATTAAAAACTGGACATGATAAAACGATCATTTCAAATTTGCAATAAAAAGAATACCTACAAATCTTCTTCTCTCCTTTCGTTTGGCCTAGGTTCACGTGGAACAAGTTCCTCTTGCCCCCCTCTGATGCATTGACAAAGTTTCGTTCACTCTTACACAGAAAAAAAACTCATCTGTGAGTCATCATTACAACACATGTTCTTCAGAATAGTTGATTGTCTGCTGTCACTTCTATAACATACGGAAAGAGGGTTAATTTCAAATAAATTATTGAACGGAACATTTGCGCTTCATTATTGGCAATCTTGAGATCCTTTGTGGCTTGTTACTTTTCTTATAAATAAATATTTGATCTAATTTTTCATTCATTCCATTTAGTTTTTTCATGATGTATAACAATGTTCCACCGCCCAAGTTTGATGATATTTGGTATTAGCATCTTCGAAAAAGAGTAAGAACCTCCATTATAACTCTACTATAAAACGTTTTTTGCAATGTATGAAAATCTCCAACAACAAATACAGTATGATTAGTAGTACGTTGAACGTATTGACAATTTGATATCTATACTCTAGGTTACTGTACAGGGTGATTCAAAAGTACTTTGACAAACTTCAGGAGGTGATTCCTAACAATATTCTAATATGAATTGTCTAAATAAATAAATGTCCGGAAACGCTTCGTTTCCAAGATACAGGATGTTGAAGTTTTATTTTTATTTTGGTTTTTTTCAAATAACTTTTGAAAAACTGAACTTAATTAAACGAAACTTGGTAATAGGAGGTTTTTGAGGTGTCGAATTCGAACCTGATGTTCTTATTGCTCTTACTCGTAGGGGGCGCCACCTACACGTCTTTTTCTTTTTTGAAGATTCATAACTTTTTTGGGCGTACTTCTAGCACATTTTTCAGTAAAAAAATCGATTCCTCTATCATATCTACGTAAATAAGCTACCCTTGTTACTAGTCGCTGTAAGCAACCGTTTTCTAAATATTTGGACTT